ACAATTGACACCTCTATTAAACTTCAACTGTTGTTACTACATGGTCATAAGTTATACTAACATGGTATGTTCCTTATTTAAATTTATGAAATATTTCTTCTCTGAATATTTTTATTACATACAATTTTTTATTTTATAAATTAGCCCTCTACAAGGAATATATTTTACCTTTTCAGGTTTTGGACATTTTTGAAAACAATAAGTATTTTCAGATGGTTATGGAGAAACATGGGTCAGGTATGGACCTGTTTGAGTTCATTGATAGAAATCCTCATTTGGATGAACCACTGGCTAGCTACATTTTCAGACAGGTCAGTAGTATTAATTGGTCATGTAAAACTTTTCTGGAATGATTGCAAATTTTTGTAATGATTTTGCTAACTAGAACCTCATACATATTTTTCTCCTGAAAAAATGTTGGTTTAACAATAATATTTTTGATACATTTCCCTGTATTCCAATGATATCAAGTATTGGTCAGCTCAGCTTTGTATTTTTATGTTAAGACACACTGTTCGTGAGTTCTGCCTTAGGGATCTTTGTGTCAAATGAACTGTAACATCAAAAACAGTTAGAAAGCTCACCGATGTCCTTCTCTTCAAGGATTCAGATATATGAGGAAATAATTATGTTAATGTTCATCTGTGATCTGTTTTGTTATAGATTGTAGCAGCATTGGTTCACTTACACAAACTGAACATTATTCATCGAGATGTGAAAGATGAAAATGTGATCCTGGATCAGTTCTTTCATGCTAAGCTGATTGATTTTGGATCGGCCACTTTTCTCTCTCCTGGGAAGTACTACTCTACATTCTGTGGGACTATGGAATATTGTAGCCCTGAAGTTTTAGTAGGAAACAAGTAAGTTCAGCCCACTAGTCAACATTCTCACTGAGTTTAATCCATTTCTATGTCTACGGTAGATGTAAATCTAGTTAAGTCATATGAATTTGTTTACACAAGGTTCTCCCATGTTTACATAATTTTTGGCAGCCATGTATTTGTTTCAAAAAGGCCATCTTGGCCCCTGTGTTGGGTACAAAATACATATAACAAACCAAAGATATGCTTATATGTTTCAAAAACAAAGTGTGGACATTTGTAGACAGTGGTGCTTAGTGGTGTAATACACAACATCATAAGAGGTTAAGTG